CCTTCAGCCTCCTCAGGCCACTGCACATGCTCTGGAAGCTCTTTGATCTGTGTCCATCTGAACACTGCTGGGTGTCTTTGGCAGCTGCCCATCCTGCTGCTGGAAGCTGCAGCACATTTGTATCATCCCAGCTGTCTCCACAACACCCGGGATTGCACAGACCACTCGTGCTCAGGTGAAAAGCCATTATCTATTCACGTGTTCCCAGAAACAATAACAGAAGAAATTCCACTTCCCTTGTTCCCCTACTCTCCTCCATACCGGGTTCACATCCAAAGTTTCTCAGTACAGGATTGTTTGGGACTCAGACGCACAGCCATGCTCTCCCTGCTCTTCTCCTTTCTTAGTTCTCCAACAGCGCACATTTTGAAAGTACCTCTGAGCACTGAGACAATATTATTACTGACTACAGCCCAGGTCCCTCGAGGTAAACGGTCATCCTGAACACTACTAGTGTAACTGGGTAGGTGAGATGGGATTCCTTTCCCTTTTCACATTGGTTTACACCGAATTCCACCTGCCTTTTCACCTCAGAGTCATTCAGCACTACAAGGACCCTCTGCAGCAACCTGCAGGCAGCTCAGTGCTGTCCCATCCACAGCACACACCCTGCAGCCCTCCCTGCCCGGTGCTTAAAGCTGCTGCCCCATGGCTGCAGAGGGAAATGCACACTGCAGATCCACACTGCTCCTCCCAATGTCATGTCATTCAACAGACCTTACATCACCACAGCTGAAATAGTTTTGTGACCTGGCAAACGCAGTGCCTTAAAATGAATGAAGTAAATGGCATAAATTTTATCCCTTACTACATTTCTTCCACCTTCAATGGTTTTACCTCCCCAGCAAGACATGCCCCTTAAGCCTCACTGCATTCTTTCGCCAATACTCAAAAATCCAATATAGATTGCTTTCTTCATGTTCTGTACCTCTATGACTTCTCCTAAGGACAGTGTTGCCCTGCCCTGCCCCAGCTGCAGTGACCCCAAACCCAGTGGTGATGCCCTCACCTCCCAGCACGAGTTGAGACCCAAGGAGAAAGAATGCAGCAATGCACAGAGAATGCAGCAAGGAGAGGTGCTGGGGGGGGGGTGAGGAGCACTGGTATGGAGCACCCAGACCACAGGCAGCACAGAACACACAGGCAGCACGGCGCCCACAGCTCTTTGCTTCGCCCCTGCGACAAGCAAAGAAGGATTATTCTCATTTTATAACTGGATTATAGAAGCTAAAATGAATTTACATGTATCATGCTAATCCAAAAGGGAACACTTACAAGCAGGCTTTGAATGAAACTGAATGCCTCCGAGTAGGTTAACAGAGATGATTCATTATGGAGTAATTGAAGAGTATGGGAACATCTTTGCCTAAATATTTTATTCCAGCTGAGATTTTAATCAAGTTTCTAAGGAATGTCTCCTAACGCTTCACAAACTACTACAAAGATTTGCATAGGTAAATAGGCATTGAAAAACATCAGTAATGTAAATTCAAGTGTTCATTCTTAGCTTCTAATTTTTTTGGTAAAGATAAGTAGAATGCTGAGCTTAAGTGTTGGGGAAAAAAAAAAAAGAAAATCAACGTAAGAGTTGAATAATGGAAAGACAGCAATTTGAACATAGAACTCAGGAGCAAAAGCAGGCCGCTCTTGTCAGCAAATCAACCCAGTGGAGGTCTGATTTCTACCATTCTGACTAAGTTCCAGTTGTTTTGAACAAACAGAACGTGTTCTTAGGATTGAAGGTGAGCTAATGCCTGCGAATGCCACAAAAAAGCTATATAAATCAATGAATAAAAATGATAATGCTTAACATTTACCCAGCCCTTCACAACAGCACACAGCCTGCAGCTCAGTGCACAGCCCTGCTGCACGCTCCCCTTTCCCCTCCTCCAAGGCTCCCAAGTACTGTGAAAAGTCTGAAGTGAAGATCAGTTCCTCATCTTTAAAGCCATTTTCAAACATTAATATTTCATTATAAACATTGAGCAATCTGAGAGCAGCCGGGGTGAGCGCTGCCCCGGGACAGCATGAGGGCAGGGAGGGCTGTGCTGCTGGGACATAGGAGCCCCTGTGCCACCACGGGCCCTCGGGGCACTGGGAGCCTCACAGTCTCACGGTGTTGGCTGTGAGATTGCCTGCTCAGCACACAAAGCATTGCACCACTCCAGGGATGTGTGCTCTCAATCCGGCTCCTCTCACTTGAAAATTATTTACACAAAAAATATCAGTTGCAAACAACACAGAGCAAAAAAAACATTTGGACATATGGATCTCAGAATGACCTCATCCTGAATTCACAGGGTGATGCCAAACTGTCCTTCAGAAAGAGCAAAAAAACAAACAGACAAACACAAACAAAAAACCTGGCTTGGTCCAAACCCAACCCAAGCCAGCAGGAGCAGCTCTGCAGTCACCTGCAGCACAGAAATCCACCGCACAAGGGAAGCACCCCATGGATGGGCACTGCTGCCATCAGGAGCAGGACACGCTCTGCCTGCCTTCACACAGCACACACAGCTCTCCGTGTTCTCTTCCTGGCTATTTTTCTCAGAAAAGTTTGAACCCTGCACAGGTTTTAGATGTGAAATGCAGAATTACTTCCCCAGAATTGAATCATTGGCTTTTATAGATCCAGTAGCAACACTTTAAAATAATGACCGAGCCATTATTCATTCCCGTGACATTTGTTTCAATAACATTAATCAGAGTGAACTCATTTGGTATTAATGCAGGTGTCTGAAGGCCTCCTAGAGAATTCCTAGGGCATTCATTAGCTGGGCCATTATTTTTATTATTTTCCTACAATCTCAGCATGCCGGGGAGAGGCAGGACTGGCAGAGCTCAGGAAGAGCTCACTGCATGCCCACAGAACAGCTACAGAGCAGCTCCCCGAGGGTCGGTGCTCTCTGCCCCTGTCTCTGGGGCGATGGGGCCGGGACCCCCCATGCCGTGCTCAGTGCAGCCCCGTGCTGTGTGGCGCTGCCCAATGGCTTCCATAGCTGTGCTTTCACAGCTGCTCTCCACAGCCTTGGACGTGCTGCCAAGATTCTGCAAAGTGGTGCCAAGCTGTGCAGCCCCGCGGTGAATATCTGCTCTGAAGGAGCCTCTGCCTTCTTTGGACTACATTTTAATTGAGCACGTCCCAAGGAATCAGAGCTGTGAGATGTTATGCCCATGTGCTTCGTATCCATTATCGCCAAGAGATAAGCAGTGCAGCTGACCTGTGGTCCTCACTCCCCAATCCAAACACTGCCTCATCCATAAATACTTGTGTTGCAGAGCTCCTCGCGCTGCCAGGAGTGAGCAGGAAGGAAAAACACTCACCAGAGCCTGAAGAAGATGGCTGGGAGCTGCATGAGGGAAACCTGCTCTGTGGGGAGAGCATTTCTGCTCTCAGGGGAAAGCAGCCACGGTTAGACTAGCCCTGGGGGGAAGATGCAGCCATTGCACAAGGAAAAGCTCTTCACCCCACAGCAATGCAGCAAAAGGCTGATTGTCAACCAGCTAAAACACACGTGTGAAAAGCAGGCAGGCAGCACTTATCCATGGTGAGAACCTCAATTTTGGCAGTTACCAAAGCACTTGCATGGCAGCAGGAACACACACTGCAGCCTCTGCAGTTGTGGAATTAGTGTAGCACAGACGGCACCTTCACAGTGCACTTCCTATTGTCTTAGACAGTTTACAATCAGAATATGTTCAGTTTCATACTCCAAACCTATGCAGAAAGTACTTTCCTATAGTAGCACTATGAATAAGAAGCCCACATAATCCTGGAATGAGTCAGCCTGAACATGACAGATAACAACATCAACTCAGACAGCTCAGGAGTTAGACCACAGCCCATCCCCTCCAGCCCCCAGCAAACAACAGGGGAAAGAAGTGGGGTGCTCGCTCTGATCCCCATTGCAGGGGAAGGGGCTGCTGCAGGGATGGGAGCAGAGATAACAGCCTCACGCTGCACCAGGGGAGGGTCAGTTGGGTACTGGGAAGCATTTCAGGCACTGGCACAGGCTGCCCAGGGAGGTGGGGGAGTCACCATCCCTAGGCAGTTGTTCAGAACAGTGGAGATACAACACTGAGGGACATGATCTGTGGGCATGGTGGGTGGGTTGGGATCTGACCTGGGGATCAGAGATGCCTTTTCCCTTCCTGCTGCTGCCATCCCACCATGCTTTAAGCACCATGAGAGTCCAGTGATGTCCCCCTGAGGTGGGGCCAGCTGCACACAGGGTGCCCAGGTCAGGCAGAAGTGTGATCCCATCCCACCTGCAGCCTTCCCCCCTTGCTCTACTATGCCTTATTACATTACACATACATAGCACTGCTCAGAGCCTCAGCACATGGGTTGTTGCAGTGGCTATGGGCTAACAGCACTCCAGAAGTGAGTGTCCCTCTTCCCTTTCCTACGGACCTTCTATTAAACTGTAGCAGCCACCACAAATATATTAGCAGACATTTTATACACAATCTCATGTTTCAGGGCTTTCAGTTTACGTAAGCACCGTTCTACTCTCACCACAGGAAATTTTATCTCTCAGTGATACCACTTGCACAGACAGAGGACTTGCCCAGCTCTCCTACAGCGTACACTTGCATTTTGTAAAACATGAGGGTCTTTCATGTAGCCCTGAAAAGGAGAATCAATAGCAAAACCTAAACTGCAGTCCTAGCTGCATGCAGCTGCCACAGCACACAGATGGCAAATAGAGGAAAATACCAAGCCTCCCACCAAAGTTGCTGCAGGACCTTCGCTCACATGGGCTCTCCATTTGGGCATGTGCTTTGTGGGTTCATCCCACATATATATATCTATGGGATATATATCCCTACAAGCTGCAAAAAAAGGTCTGAATACTGGGGATGACCCTGGCCCCCAAATTAGCCTGTAGCAATTAGGAAGATCAATAAAATGGGAAAGGCATTACAACAGAGGTGTGATGACAGAAGGAGTGGCACAATAGAAAAGTGCCATAAAGGAAGGAGAGAAGATTGCTCACCTGTATCAGAAGATTCCAAGTTTACAGAGGAAAGCTCCACCAAGGAAGAACCTCTAGAAGATCTGTTCTTTAGTGGCAGTCAGCCCTTAAGTGAGACCTAAGAGAGGTGCAGCCAGGCTCCAACCCTTCCAATCACACAGCTGAATTGCCTTCACCTGTGCTCACAGGGCTGACCTGGTCCTTTCCCCAGGTGCTCAATCAGTGCTTCAGGCTGGGACTCAGCAGTTCCCATACAGCCCCACTGCAGCTCCTGAGGGCATGGGCTGCTCGGGATCCAACAGCAATGTTTTTTCATTTAGCCTTTCACTGAGGCTGTGGAAGATGAAAGAATAAAGAAAATCTGAGGCATTTAGGGGCAAGGTTTGTCTTCGTGTAGGACACACCTTAGCCTAAGTCTGGGGTGTCCATCATTCACCTGGGAGAACCCCCGCTGCCACCCCAGGCAGGGATTCATTTCCCACCTTGGTTCCCAAATGATCACAGATAATGGGAACTGGAAAACAAGAGCCATGAGATGTGATGTTTTGCTGAGCTGTAAGAGGTTCTACACAGGAGTGCAGGCCTGACTGACAACACTGCACTCTGGGAGAATGTGACAGCTTTTGATGGGAAGAAAGATACAGAGAAAATGGAGTATCAAAACAAAGAAGTACAAAGGCACCTGGAAAGGAAGTGTGGAAACGTATAATTCAAAAAATTGTGAGCTGGGATGTACAACACTGCACGAATCCATCATCTCCTCAGGGCCTCCATCCTCTCAGGAATGGACTTTCAGCAATGACAGTGTGACTGCACAAAGCATTTGGCAGAGCTGCTCCTCGCTGCCCGCTGGCTCCACGCTTCATTGTGTCCTCACACGTCACACAGAACTGTCACTACTGCTCCATTACAGTTCAGCTGCAAGCATTTAGCATGGGGGCAGGGATGGCGCTGCTCCTGCATGAGTGGGAACGAAGTAAAAGCCTATGTTGTATAAACAGACGTGCCTACGTTATGTAAGCAACCAATGACTTGCAGCTCCTGTTGTTGGGATGCGACGTAAGACAACGCTTGGACATGAAGTGCTGCGCAAGCCTGAGGCAGAACAGACATTTTCATTCATGTATGCCAAGCAGTGGCTGTTCTGATTGCTGTCACTCAGCTTTGATGCTACGCCGTCCCAGTGACACCGCCTGCCTCTGCCGCAGGCTGACAACAAACCTCTGTGGTGTTGAGATACTTCCACACTAACCAGGCCCAGAAGAGAAAACCCTATGGAGAAGTTGTTCAGGAATCCTCACCAAGTTTGTGAAGGCAGAGGTGAAATTCCAAGAATGAGCAAGTTTCAAAATGCACGCTCATATTGAGCAATGGCATTTGAAATCAATATTTTCCATTACTTCTATAGATGGTGGCATAACGTACGGTAACATTTCGGTTGCTAATATCTTCGAGCCCAATCTATACAGAATATGTATTTTTCGTGCTCTGATTGCATTGATTGCTCATTTAGCACACAATCGAGGCTATGAGTTCATTAAAAAAGGGACAAACAATTGCAGGGTAGTTTATTCTTGTCACTCAGGGGTTGAGTTGGATGCAGCAAATTTACGAGTGAATAACTCACATTCCCTGTGCGTGTGCTTGTCCTTAGAAGCCACTCACAGCTCCATGCAGGACCTGCTCCAGGCTTCCCGCAGTGCCGCAATGCCCAATGCGCAGCTCCAGGCCCCAGGGAGAACAAGGCCACCCCTGTCAGACACCACACGTGCAATTATCCTCCCAAAGAAGTGTCCTTTGCTTTCTCTCCCCAGCTATATTCAGTGAAAAGGTAGGAATAAGTGTCACATGCGACGTTCTGAGTGATCTGAGAGGACAGGATGGAGCAGTACTTCAGCACCAGCACAGAGCAGCAGCACGAAGCACAGAACAGCACACCATCCTTCCCCTTCTTCCTGTCTGACAATTGCTTTTTTTTCCCCCACAGCTGGAACTGACCCCAGACAGTTGCAGTTCTGGAGCCAGGAGCTCATTTTCTTCCTCAGGAGCATCTTCAGCCTCACCTCAGCACTACACAAAAACCCAACCAACACAGCAGGGAAAGAAACCAGCAGAGGCTGTGTGTATACCACAGGTGGTGCCTCAGTGGTTTGTTGGTGCCATCTGAAGGAGGGAGGCTCTCCTGCTGCTGACATCCACAGAACTCACACGTGTGGGTTGCAATTGTAGTCATTCTGATTCCTGTTTGTATACCTGGTCATGGAGATGAGTACCTTAGGCAGCATCCAAGGAGGGTTCATGAACAGCGCTCGCCAGTGTGAGCAGCAGAGAACATCATCATCAACTGTGGATTTTTCATGGGCAGTGCAGGAAGCCTGACGGCCTTCCTACCAGCATCATTGGGTAGGGACATGAGGAAAATAAATCTCACTGCTCTGATGTAAATTCCACATAGCTTGGAGCGTTGCGATGGGAGGCTGCTCAACAGGCAGCTTTGGGTGAAAGGAAGAAGCTTGCCTTTCATTCATGGAGCAAAGAGTGAGTGCTGCTGTGTGCTGGCTGAGAAGTGGGCTGAGAGGGGAGGCAGCCTGCAGGCAGGGCCAGGCTCTGCTTGGAAGCTGAACATGGGTCAAAGTATCTCATTCTCTCTGTACTGTTATGTTCTCTACAGTCTGATAAATACGTAGGCACCCTTGCTGCTGTGAGGGGAGAGCTATGGAACCAATGGAGAAGATAAGTTGAATTGCCTTGTCTTGCTGCTTTCACATCAGTTTCCTTAGCTCCTTCTTTCTATACATCGTTCTGCCTTTCCTTTGCCTTCTGCAGTGTGTTGGCAATTGTAATTAGCAATGGTTTTTCAGTGTGAGAAGAAGGGACTCAGATGGCTGCAGAAAATTATAGCGCTCTGTGTATTCATGTCATTGAATGTTTTCCTTTTCTTGGATATTTACATGAGTTATTCATTTTATTTTCTTTTAGCTATGGAAGTCGGAGCTTCAAAATAATCATTTGGCTTGTTTATTTGCAGAAGATCCTCTAATATAATTATTTATAAGAATTGTGAATTGGGAATGATGAATAAACATGTACGACAATTAATAACCTCTTTGTTGAATTCTCATATGGAAGCAGATGGCCTAGTGATGCATGTAAATAGATCATTTATTTCATTTGGAAATCTGAACGTTGAATAAGAAATCAGGTATTTGCAGCTAAAGACCTTTCCAAATGTGAAGAAATATTCTGAACAAAACTGGGGAGCGAATGACACTCTGCCATACAGAAATAAATCCAGGGGCTATGTGGAATTACCAGCCTTGTTCAGCACGTGAGCCCAACACAAATGCTCAGAATGCATGGAAGAAAGATGTTCGTCCACTCAAACTTATTAATCATTGACTCTTACGTCAGAAATACTTGCTCTCACCAGCTACACGAGGTGCTGACATAGCACAGAAACTTTGCTGGTGGTCACCAGCCTGCAGTTTTTACCACAAGTGACAGAGTTGGAAAGAAAGAAGGCAATAACTGCAGAGCAATGAAGATGTGTTTGTTGGCTCAGGGATGCGCCCCCATCACTACATTAAGACGTGCTCTGAGCATAAAGACAAGGTGCATGTGGAACCTGGCTGACAAGCAAACGGGGCTGCAATGACAAGTTTGCAAATAACCACAGCAACAAACAGTCCCTGAACTCCAGGTGCTGTGGGTTAGAGCTGAATGGTACACACGTGCTCTGAAGTCATTGAAAATAAACTCATGGCTGCACTGTGGAGCTGATTTTTACTGCTCACTTTAATAGTGGGAAAAAATAGATATGACTGTGACCTTTTCACAGTTCACAGGAGTACCAGCACACTAATTGAACGACTCGGCACAGAATTCAGAATTTGTAATCACAGTGGCCCCAGAAAGGTAATTTATGTTCTGGGTTTGGAAGAGCCGAGTCTCACCTTGCTGAGAGCAGCAGAAGTCTGCCATCCGTGGGCACAGACCGGGGCCAAATGGTGCAACAGAGTGGAGATCTGGGCTCCTGCTCTGCAGCTGGGTGCAGCTGTGCCTGTGAGGAGCCCAGCATCGCCCCACACCAGCTCTGCTGCCACAGCTGCATGCCAGGCTGGGAATCAGTGTGCACCTATTGGGAGCATCGTGGGAACCCCACTGCTCTCCTGCCTGCACCGCCAGGCTGACTGCCTGGAGGCGTGCAAACAGATGTGGTTTTGGATCCTAAGACAGGAAGGAACATGAGAAGTAAGCAACAAGGAAAACTAAAATAAATGAGACACAGTTAACAGCATTAGGATTTGCAAGACCCTATTGATGCCCCTGCAATGTTGCACTGAGTAAGGCCACGTTCTGAGCCCTGCTGGAAGGTGTGCACACCCAGCCCTTTGTGCCCGCAGTGTCATCAGCGTGCCACAGTGCTGTGAGGCCATCAGTCAGAAGGGCCTCGGGGGCTCAGCCACAGCCAACCCTGCAGCTGGGAGCCAGGGGTGAGCACAGCCCATGGAGCACTGTGTTGAGCCGGGGGGCACGGGGCACCCCCAGCAGCTGAGATCTGGTTTTCTTAAGTGGGAAGCAGAAAACTGTTCCCATGACCGAAGCTTTTTGAAGCCTGTCTCCCATTCAGTATTTAAAATAACCAGTTTCAGACATATTACCACCTCTTCGCTTTCCCACTGAGCAAAGCTGGCCGGAAGTTTGTAGCACAGCAACATGCCTGCAGCTCACTTGATGCATGCTGGCTGCCACCTGTCCCAGAGCACACAGCACGGCGATGGGAGCAGGGAGCCAGCAGCAGCTGGCTGCAATGGGGCTCTGCTGCAGCACAGCCAGCATTCCGAGCCACTCCTGAGCAGGAGGACCAGAGATGAGGAAGTCAGGCAGGAGTGCACTGCTGACGCTTTGCACCCACATGGCGTGAGGCTCCCCTGTGCCCTGCTCACCCAATGAACTGCGACGGCTTGTGAAATCCTCACCAGAGTGGGAGCATTAGTGCAAACAGATTTTACTGTAAGCATTAAACCTTCAGTGAAAGCCCTTATAATTCTTTTATGTTCTGTTCCCGACTATAAATTAGATTATATTACACTTAATGGT